TGCCGGCTGCCCCGCAGTCCCTGCGCCCGCCTGACGCTCCCCTCAGACCTTTACTTTCTCCTGTAGAAGCAAATCACAGCCTGCTTATGCCGGGACCGCGCGGTTTCAGGCCTGTGTAGTTGAGAATTGCACTGGCGTAAGAAGCGAAGCAAACCCAAGGGACCATTTATTTCTGTCTCTGTTGTTGGGCCGAGTCCAGTCCGTTTCACTAGTGACTGGAGGCTATTTCCAATTATAGCTGTCTGTAGCTCTCGGACCACTGGAATTCCGCAAAAAACTTAGGAATAAAAGAAAGTCCTGCTTTTTAGTGCACCCACCAAGTCCTTCCATCGCTGTCAGTCTTGTGTTTATTTTGGGGATAATAAATTATGCAAAATTCTGTTTTAATTCAGTACCACGAACTCAAGTGAAGGACAGTCTGATCCCAAACCCTCTGCAGCCAGCGGGCACTTGATTAATCATATTGCCTCAGTTTAGGCAGCTGAAAAATAAACATCCCCATCTGAATTAGCCACTGCAAGGTTTGCTTTCTGGTCTCTTTTTTCTTTTATTATTTAAAATAAGACCCTTCTAGAGGAGAAGTCATAGCAATGAACGGGGCTGATAAAGGGCGTGTTGTGGCATCTTGCTTAACTTCGTGGGCTTTTAATCCAAGGTGATAATTACGACACAGCGGCATGAACATAGCTGTGCCTTGTTGCAAAATAAATAGATACAGCAGATACAGCAATGCGATGAAAGCAGTGACTTACAGAAACAGGAAAACAAAAATACAGACTCTGTGGAGTCTGACCGAGCTGCTGTAAGAGTGCCTACTGCGCTGCTGGTGTGTGGAACGGACCCTGTGGTTTGTTTGCAGGAGAGCAGTACGTCCAGAGTTTGTGCATGCAGCCAGGAGAAGGAATGTCCGGTTGAGAAGACGTTGAGCAATAGTCCTGTGAAGTCTGAACGAGAAGTTCTCTTAGTTGGTACGTTCTTTTGATGAGTTTGGTGACGATGCTGGAGACCTGAACCCAGCTGGACTTACTTCCAGGTGGCCTCGCAGCTCCCGCTGGCCACCTCTTGTTCCTTTGCTTGTGGCAGTGGAGGTGGGAGTGCTGGAACCGAGGAAAGCCTCGAGCTTTGGTGGGGTCAGGGTTTCACCTTGTGCGTTGCACACGTGGAAATCTTGTGCTGTGCACCCTTCAGTCAAAACCACACACGGTAAAGGGGGCTTTTGCGTAGTGACGGTCCAGGTCAGCACGTGGTGGAGTGCCGGTCCCTCTTCTGGGGGTGTCACGGGAGGGAGTAAGTTACAGAGGAGGGTCTGTCTTCATTCGGTTAGAGCCTAATCCACCTTCCAGCACCCGAAGCAGTGCCACAGGCTCTAAGACGTAAATCGGCTTGAGCACGGGAGCACCTCGCAGGGTGCACAGCGTTTGTGGACCCACACAGCAGTAAGGCACACGGTTGGGTCAGGCATGGCGTGCCAGGGACCCCGAGCAGATAAACCCTTCCAGCTTTAGAAGCTGTAGGCAGAGAGGAATGAAGGGTGGTGAAACGTGGCAGGGAGCGAAGGCTGGGCCCGATGGGGTGAGAAATATGGCCAGCGTTTTCACGTGATGCTCACAAAGGGATTGGTGAGCTCTGATTTACAGCGCAGGCGTATCTGCTACCCTCTTTATTTCCTTTCCCCTTGCCTATTCCTAGTGATATTGGAAAATAACCTAACGTGGCATGCTACGGCTTTTCAGCCCAAAGCACTGAATAGTTGGGGATTTTCTGGGAGCAGTGGAAAGGAGGAACAGCAGTCCTTGTCTTGCTGGGACAGGACATTTTCTTTGGGTCACTGTCACTCAGCCAAGTTCTCCTTAGCCATCCCTCTACATCTGATTCGAGAGTAACCATAACTCATTCGTTGTTCGCCAGACACATCTGTTTGTGCCAGATCACGGGCTGGTTTCTGCATTGAGAGGGAGGGGGATTTTGAGGAAAACCAAAGGCACAGCCTTTTTCTGCAAATGATGGTCAGAAATGAGAGTCAGTCTTTTTGATATACAGTCCTGGCCAGGGGCTGGAACGGAGTCTCTTTGTGACAGGGTGCAAACTCAGGTTGCTCTATTTAAGCGAGTGCTGCAAAACTGTTGGGATGGGACACACACACGCCGCTGCTGCTCTCCCCATTTGCCTTCTGTGTTTTCCTGCTCCGTGACCCTTGATGGTGCAGCGGGAGGAGAGCTCTGCTTCCCCTCTCCTCGGGCCTTGCATCCCTGCGTGTGTGATAATCTCAGTGCGGTTCATCACTGGGCACGTGGCCAGTACTCGGCTAGCAGTGAGAGTGGTGAGCTCTGCTGTAAGTGCTGACCCGCCGCATCGCTTGGCTGTTGTTTCCTCTGCGGTCTAGGAGCCAAACCTCACTGTACTTAGAACCAAAAATGCCTCATTAGATCCCTCTCTGCTCTGCCGAGCTGGTATTCTCACCTGGCTCTTGTCTCAGGAGAATAACGTTTGTGGTGTTCCTTCCCCCAGGAATAATTTCAACGTTTCTTCACGTGCACCCATTCGGAGCGAGCATAGAGTACATCTGTTCCTACCTGCAGCGCCTGGACAGCAAAGTAAGTGTCGCAACACTGGTAGTGCCCCGGGCCAGGCTGGGCGCTGCATTTGCGCCCCGAGCGTGCTCGGTCTGTGTGGACAGCCGGGGGTTGGACAGTAAGGACTGGTGTGTATTAACTGGAACCATTTGCCGGAAGAGGACAAGGGAAGAGGTGAACTTTCTCAGAATCACAGGATGGTTTGGGTTGGAGGGACCTTTAAAGATCATCTAGTCCCCCCCCGTGCTGTGGGCAGGGGCATCTTTCACGAGATCATAGAATGGTTTGGGTTGGAAGGGACCTTAAAGACCACCCAGTGCCACCCCCTGCCCTGGGCAGGGCCACCTCCCCCCAGCCCAGGTTGCTCCAAGCCCCGTCCAACCTGGCCTTGACCACCTCCAGGGATGGGGCAGCCACAGCTTCTCGGGGCAACCTGCCCCAGGGGATCACCACCCTCACAGCAAAGAATTCCCCAGCTCTCCTGGAGCCCCTTTAGGCACTGGAAGGGGCTCTGAGCTCTCCCCTTTTTGGCCTTCTCTTCTCCAGGCTGAACCCCCCCACCTCTCCCAGCCTGTCCTCCCAGCAGAGGGGCTCCAGCCCTCCCAGCATCTCCGGGGCCTCCTCTGGCCCCGCTCCACCAGGTCCATCTCCTTATGTTGGGGTCTCCAGAGCTGGAGGCAATATTCCAGGTGGGGTCTCCCCAGAGCAGAGCACAGCAGAGGGGCACAGTCCCCCCTCGCCCCGCTGGCCACGCTGCTGATGCAGCCCAAATGCTGCTTCTGTACAGCTGCTCAAAGCAGCGCAGCCTCTGGCTCAGCGCTGACGCAGCGTATCGTTAACCTAAGGACTGAGTTGAAGATGACGTTCTTAGTGCAGATGTTCACGTGTAATCCCACTCATAATTCAAGAAGACCCTTTGACAGTAGCTGTATTTTGCAGCAGTGAATTCCATCTTTAAAATCGCCATCTAAAATGTATTTTTATTTATTCTGTTTGAGTTTGCTGCGTTTGTTTCCCTTAACCTTATGACCTCTAAGGAAAAGAGCAAACAACCCGCCTCTTGCATGCTGTTTGTTTATTATCTCATAATATCTGCCATGCCACTGTTTGTATGTATTCTCTCTAAATTGAACAGTCGTTGGTTTTGTGTCTCTGAGCAAAGTTTTCTCCATATTTCTGATCTTGTAGCCCTTCACTGAGCCTTTTATGTCCCTGTTTCGATACTGTCAGTGAAGTTGTTTTCAGGAGGGTGCTGTGCCGGGGCCTTAGGCTGGAAAAGCCCACGCAGGGAGTCGCAGTCCCTGCTTACAGCGGTCTGTGCTAAGTGGGGGGATCGAGCCCTGGGTGTGCGGGTCAAGGAGGGCAGTAGCAAGAGCAGCGCTCACGCATTTTCCTTAGTACAACAAGAATCTGCTGTTTCCCGCGGTATTTCTGTGTATCGCTGGCTTCCGACTCCTTTTCAGAGTAAATGCGGAGGGACTGTGCAAAGGCGTCTGAAGGTTCAAGGAGATTACATCTCGCTCCTCTCCTATACCGTTCTTCGGTTGTCTTCCTTAACGTGCCCCGGGGATCAGGAGACTCACCAGCATGGGAATCATCTCTTGTGACTGGAACTTGTTCAGCTGCTTTTGTTTATAACTTTGTTTATAACTCCATTTTCCCCGTTCTAAGAAAGCAGGGCTCGCTGGCCCGCTTTCAGGCTCGCTCCAGCCCTTTAAAGAAGGATCTGTCTAATAATTTATCTTCTCATCCTAGTTCTGAGTTGGTCTACGAGGCGAACAGCTGCCTTTGTTTTTCTTTGGAGTTTCTAGAGAAATGCCATCATATAATTAATCTGATTTCTGGCACTTCCTCTTCGGGGTCTCCAGTGTTGAAAAGGGCTCCCGGAGGTGTCTACAATACGCGTAGCAGAAACGCCTTGTGAAAGGTGCGTCCCTTAACCTCTGCCGCAGCGTCAGTCTTGTGTGATTGTTCGCTGACGCTCAGGTAAACGCAGCAGCCGGCTGACTTGCACAGGTCTTTTGTGCCGGGTCTCTCGGAAGGAGGTCTTCCCGTTTGTTCTTCAGGTTATGCCTCAGCTCTTTTGTCTCCCTCTTGATTGCTGCGGGAGCTCGGTATGAGCCGGGGCTGTTTCTTTTAGCGTTTAGCAGATCTTTGGGCTTGAGGTGGGGTGGGAATCGGGGGGAGCACGTGAGAGCAGAACCCGGTTTCTTGAAGCTGCCGGCAGGGAAGGAAGAGGAATATCTTTCCCCTGTTCCCTGCCCAGTCTCACCAAGGCGGCCAGCGGGTCAGCAGACAGTGCGGAAATGAAAATTGAGGGTGGTCTGAAGCCATGAAATGAAAATTGAGGGTGGTCTGAAGCCATGGAACGTCCTTACAGAAACTCTCTGCAGCGCTGTGAGCGAGGCAGGCGCGGGGCAGCGGAGGTGATTCTCCTCCCAGGCGTCTGCTCTCTGTTTCACGTCTCAGGTCGGACCTCTGCTTGCCAAAGCCATTGCCAGCTGGAGCTTGTTCCTCTGGCTGTCTCAGATCTCGGACTGTTGTTTCTGCCTGTTTGCAGGGCAATGCGATGACAAACGCATCCACCAAATGCAAATCTGTCTTGCAAAGCAGGTGCTCTCGGTCTTCACCGCGTTGGGCATGTTTTGAAAGCTGTGGACCTGCGGTTACTGCCAAGGGGCTTTCAGAGGAACGCACTTGTGTGCTAACGAAGGCTTCAAAGTGAACATACTTCCTGTGTACGTCATCTTTGCTACCGCTTTGATAAGTGGTACCCCGCACTCTTGGAAGTAAAAACCTTTTCTCCCTAGCTAAGT